TATATATATATATATATAAAGCACATCTAAGATTAAAATTCAACAAGAATAAATTTCAACAAAAAAGTGGCTTGCAAGCACTAAATCAACTGGGAAACCCAGAGCATTATAAGATTTTTGCTTGTACACACTTACCCAAAGTCAGTGAACCTTCAATCTTTTAAATTGCAATATAGAATGTGTTACATCCAAATAGCACCTGACCTAAATCTAGTTTAGTTCTTCTTCTTCTTCAAAACAAACTCCAACAGCAGACAGAGAATACATTGAGATAAACTGTATGCAGAAAGTTGCATCCCCTTAATCCTGTTTCACTGCATGAGGTTTGTAGTAGATGACTGTGACTGTGACCCACATGTTCAGAATGCTCATGACAACAAACCGTATGAGAACTGGAGAAGAAAGAAATGAAAGATAAAGATGACAATCAACACTTCACTTAAAACATGATCGCTTTTTTTTTTTTTTTTTGTAATGCTATTGAATTCTGCAATTAAACAAATCCACACATTTTCGCACAAAAGAAATGTTTATTGATTTATAAAATACAAAAGAACATATCTATTAAAGTACTCGCAAAAGAAACATTAGTTGTGCTTTAGATCTAATAGTTATTGAAATCATTTTCATTTTCTAAGTAATCTTCTTGTACTAGAACATTAGAGAGTTCAAAAGAGTCCTATGGTTTATTGGTTTTGCATTAATAATTACCATGTGTTCATTATATCGCCATAAAATACAGATCAATATAAATGAAGCTCAATATAAAAATAGTGCATATTTCAGCGTATGCAAACATAACCCCTTTATGAACTACAGTAAACAGTCTGTTCAGCAACCTGATATCATTAATCAATTTTAAGTTCTTTAGCTTGAAAATTGCTCAAAAAATATTTTCTTTTATGAGAAGAAAATGACCGTTACTAAACTTCTTACAGTATAACAACTTAAAAAAAAAAACAGTATATCTGAACATTTACAAATGCAGGGAGGTACAGGCAAGAAAACTACCAGGAATTATAAGAAAGTGTTGGAATCAGTGAAGGATAAGAATGTTTTTACTGTTTCATAACACTATTTGGTCAGACTTGATATATACTTGTATCAAATACGATTCATCATTTGTAAGTCTACAACATTCATATGTTTTCCTTCACGGGAATATGAGATTTAAAGCAATTATACTGAAAAAAAAAAACACTGTCCCACATCCCAATACATAATAGATTTGCATGTTCTGGAGAAAATACCAGTGCTTGCAAGGCAGCAAAATAAAAGTGTGGAAAACTTTTAACTTTAAAGGGGTCATCGGATGCCCATTTTCCACAAGTTGATATGATTCTTTTGAGTCTTAATGAAAAGTCTGTAACATAGTTTGGTTAAAATTTCTCAATGGTAGTATAAAACAACACCGTTTTTACCGTCAAAAACAGCTGTCTACAGCATGCAGTTTTATTGCATTCAGCTTTAAATGCTAATGAGCTCTGCTGACCCCGGTAAACTTTAGCTGAGAACTGGAGAAGAAAGAAATGAAAGATAAAGATGACAATCAACACTTCACTTCAGTTCACATCCCATCAGGAAGCTCTTACTGACCTTGTGTGTCTCCTGTGGTGATGACGGTGGTGAAGATCCGTGCTGACCAACAGAGCAAACAATCAATATCAATACGACAGACTGGAGAAGTGCTTAGGTTTTCTTTTGTGTCACTTACCCAGGCATGTATATGTGGCCAGAGCCCAGGTGAGAGCGCTGACCTGCCCAGAGTCCTTCGAGCGCCACAGACACTGAAGCTGTGCCAGTTTACTGCCAGCACTAATGAAAGTGCACAAACTCTGAGAGACGATGGCAAAAAAAACTTCTTATTACCATTCAAAAGTTTCTAAGATTTTTTTCCCCCGAGAAATTGCAAAAATGGTTTACCTTTAATCTGAATCTATTAATACATCTATATATGACACTAATGCAAATGCATATGGATCAGTAGTGGCATGTTCTCACCATGGCCAGATCAATCACCCACTTCTGTACTGTAAGCAACTGCCATCCACCCACAAACCTGATTCTTACAGTAAAGGAATGAAAACCATCATACTCATTAAATATATATATTTTTTATTTTAAATTGGGCAGGTTTTTGATTGCTATTAGGATATTATTTCTGACTCCAATGAATAGCATAACCTGACAGCATGGGTCTGAAGGATACAGGGCTGCGTATATGAGGCTGTGTTTCATGTGCCTG